GGGAGAGCCCAAAGACAGGGATCTGCTCCTCAGCTGGGAACACTGAGCTGTCCACCACTGTCTTGTTGGCCAGGTTGAACTTGATCACCTGGAAGGAGCCCTGCTGGCGGATGTAGTAGAGGGGCCCGTCGTACACGAGGTGCCCAGTGCCCACCCAGGGGTAGGGCAGCTTGATGCGGGCGGCCTTGCGGGTGGCAGAGAAGAGGGTGAACTCCCGCATGCGGGGGAAGACGTACACCGTGTCATTGGCAGTGCCGTCGAAGACATAGATCTTCTCGGAGTTCCCTGCCGCATCCTTGGTCCAGAGCCCCGAGGTGCTGCCGAAACGCTTTAGGATCTTCATGGCTCTGACGCTCGCGATGGTGTCACTGCAGTCTGCAAGAGTGCGGCAGCCGTGAAAGCCTGAAAGCCACCTGGCCCTGCAGCCGGGACAGCTCCCACACAGGTCCCACTACGTCCCACCCCAGCCCTCAGGCAACTGCCTTGCAAACTCGCTGCTGCTATCACTGGTGGCATTGAGAAGTTCCCCTGTGAACTCATGTGATGAACAGGGAGGGCCACCTGCACCCCAACCCTGCCCCAGGGGCTTTGGAGAAGCACAAGGCTCTGGCCTGGGGCTTGGATGTGGCTCCCATGCAGCTGTGGGGATGCAAGATTTCGTGCCAGAGACACCTGAGAGATTTCCTGCTGGGATGTAATGCCATGGCATGCAGCTGGGGGAGACTTGGACCTGGGTGGGCTGGAAAGGCCCAGGAAAACCCCACACCCAGAACCATCTCCCCAAGGAGTCACAGAAGCCACTCACCTGTCAGCTTGGTGTATTTCTCATTCTTTCTCTGCTTGGCTGTGGCCACTTGCTTCTCCATCAACGTCTCGTCCACCTCCACGCAGGGCGGTGCGGGGTTCTGTGTCTCCAGGTAGTCCACCTCACGCTCCAGGCGGTCCACACGCACTGCTGTGCTCTCTGCCTCCGACCGCATCGCCTCCCGCTCCTTCTCTGCTGTCTCCAGCATCCCCAGCACCTGGTTCTTGAAGTCCCGCAGCTCGGTGGAGTAGCGGCTGCTCTGGTCATGCCACTGTGAGATCCTCTCCTGGGAGGGCCAAGGGGAACTGAGGCCTCTGCACTTCACAGCCCGTCTGCAGCAGCCCCCCCACTGCCTGCGCGTGGCTGTGGGAGCTGCCAGGGCCACACAGCACTGCAGCCCTGGTGCTCTTTTCTCTGGGTCCCATCCTGCCATGCTCCTGCACCCCTGATGCTTCTGCACCCACAATACTCTCAGACCCGCGATGTTCCCTGACATGACGCCCCGGCTCCCGCCATCCCACGGTGCTCCCATGCCCATCGTGCCTGCGATGCTCATGCTGGGCTGTGTGGGGCCCTGGCGAGGCAGGGGACAGGGCACCCCACGCCAGCTCTGCCCAGTCCCCATCCCAGCTCCTCCTCACCCCAGGCCTGTTCGCAGCCCCGCCAGCTG